CGAGGATGAGGAGGACGAGGACAAGGAGGAGGACTACAATGAGATTGGGATGTCTCATCTTGGTGATGCACCATATCCTACACAGTTCGACGCACAGGCACTTGAAACAATCCTTCGCCATATACATCACAATTACTTAAACATTGTAAGTAACGATGCCTATATTGTAATTGCAGGGTCCTAGTTACACTTAGCAGTACCACTGGGTGTACCGCCAGTGAGACCGTACCGACGTTGGGTTCACCCCTAACGTGCTGCCTTCAAGTCCGAAGAGGCAGCGACGTCCGCGGTCATCATATACTGCTGGGTCGTAGGAGTTCTTTAGGATGCACTCGTACTCAGACACCCATATACTGATGGAACATGTAGTATATCGAGTAATGTCGAACTTATGTATTGATGAACTTGTGTCGTAGTTATGACTTGCTGAACTTATGTCGAACAGTGGTATTGTCGAACTTGCAATGAACTTGGGACACGTACAAGTTAGTATTGCTGAACTTGTGTATTGATTGTCTCGTGCACTTATCCTTCCTGTTGATCTATTCGTTAAATCGACACGATGACATAACAGAAGTGCATTGTTCCTTTTGCAGCCGCTTTGACCGCCGCGCCATGCTGGGCGCTGGCCCGACTCCCTTCTGAGTGCATCAGCAACAGCATTGTAATACCATTTTTCATGGCTAAAGTTTAATGAGATAACACAATGTCCGTTACAAAAATAAAATAGTGTTTGTTACATGAGTACAATACATAAATAGTTCAAATAAAACACAATGCAGCACCGAGAAAATTCTACTACAATACAAATACCAAATCTAAAACATTGAACTAGCACACCTGTACCAATCCTCAGTCTAAAACATACTGAGTAAGCAACTCGTCATCCGAGTACCAGTCCTCTAACACAACCTCGTTGCTATGGCTAGGCTCACCGGCATTGTCCTGATCTGCCTGTCGCCTGTAGTAAGCTGCCTCCGCTTCACCTGCGGCCTCTGTGGCCTGAGTCAAGAACGCGTCCTCCTCCGTCTAGCTCATGTGGCTAGGCTCACCTGCATTGCCTTGATCTGTCTGTCGCCTGTAGTAAGCAGCCTCCGCTTCATCTGCGGCCTCTACGGCCTGAGTGAAGAACGTGTCGTCATCCTCCTCCGCCTGCAAGCCCGCCTCTACTAGAGCGATGAGCTCGCTCAGTCTGCCAGTGTCGTTCTCAGCCTCCTCCGTCTATAAGCCCGCCTCTGCTAGAGCGATGAGCTCGCTCAGTCTGCTAGTGTCGTCCTCAACCTCCTCCGTCTGCAAGCCCGCCTCAGCAAGAGCGATAAGATCGCTCAACCTGGCAGTGTCGTCCTCATCCTCGTCCCCCTCATCAGACAACACAATCAGAGATTGAACGATGCGATCAGCTCGCGTTCTGTGCTCATGTAACTTCTTTTCTTCAAATCTTGCATAGACCACCTCTGCGGCATAGTCCTTGCTACATCCAATCCTTTCATGTATGAAATGCAACAAGTTAGCAACATGATTATATTATATTTAAAAGCAGACAATGAAAATAACAAGGCTTCTAATGACCCACTGGCACATAATGCAACAACATAGTCGTTTAAGACCCGCATCTATACTCTTTCCTCCTCCCTTGCCTCCTTCCTTGCCCTCTCCTACTCTAACGCCCTCCGTCTCTCCAATCCCCATTTGTCAAGCCCAACATCAATCGGGTTACGAATACCGCGCTGTCTAGTAAACTCACACATCTTGTTTTGTGATGTTTAACGAATAGGTTGACGTAGTCAGGTCCATATCCCATCTTTCATGTAATTACTTGTCTCCCCTTCAGTTCATCCAAGAACTTAGCTTGACCATCATAACATTCCCATCTGTATTTCCTAGTGCTCTGTTCAAACGAAAAATTATATCATATATGTCTTAACAAAAGAAACAAAATATGATTTCATGTTTACTACAAAAATAACCAACTTCATCATAGTCAACCATATGGCCGTAATAATGGCCTATTCCAAGCTTCGAAGGGACTAGACCGTAATTGGATTTAACACCACATTCACACTTGACTGGAGGTGCTTTGTAAATTAACCTTTCTTTCTTCTTTTCCTTTGGCTTTGGTGGCTCCGGCCATTGATTCTTAGGACCGTAGAGCCACTCATTGAAATGACACTTCGCAAATCCATAACGCTACAAGAGAATATATTAGTACATGCACATATATAGAGCTAAACATTTAAACAGATATACTTCGTGTTTATTTGGACACACAAACTTCAACGTATTCTCAGGGTTTATCACAGCTCGATCTCCACATTCGCACAGAGGAGGTTCCTCGAGTCGTCTAACTGCGGCTAGGTGCTTCTCCTTAGCCGTCATTGGCAGGGGGGTTAGGGGGGTGGAACCCACCGCTGGAAGTGCTCACGTGGATGTCTCCCTCTACACCAATCGCCGAAAAGGAGGTACGTAGGGTCAAACTTGTCTGCACCATTGATCCACTGAAAGAAAAATCACCTCTAATGGTCCTACACAACAAGATTTTAATAAAATATTAGTAGCCTACTTACACAAATGTAGAAAAAAAAAGATAGTGGAAACAGTTACTTACATTAAAACGACTGCATGTGTAGAAGCAATGCGCCGCTGTATCTGGATGCCTCGATTGAAACACGTCGGCCGGGAAACCACGGTCACAATTAGGAACAGGGAGGTGAAGAGGGACAGAGGCATCTTTGCTAGCGTCGAGGTATAATTCTCGAGGACGACCCCGTTTTCACTAAAACTCCTCCCGATACATTTCTTGCATCTAACAAAACGGTTGTAATTTAACAAACAAAAATCAAAACATCACAAATTAGTGTCAATGAGAATCATTTACATTACAACAAATAAAATATAACCTACACTTTGGTGTAAACTCTATCTTAGATGCAAACATGAAAACTATATAAAAACTATACTTTGATCAGTAAAAAATAAAATTTGATACATCAACAGTGTGTCTATATATTTATTCACATATAAAAGTTGAGATGCAAACTCAAACAAGCAAAATACATGGTAATCATAATTCTAACTAATCAATTAACCTTAATATTGGCAATCATAATCATAATCTTTCAATCCAACGTTCTAACGAACTCATATTTTTCTCCATACCCTAACTACTCATTCAAATCATTTGATCCACCGTGGAGGCCAAGGAGGAGCTTTAGGAAAGTTAGGGAGGGGAATGGCAAGTGAGGAAAATTTGCCGGCCGGCCGTGGGGAGCCGGGAGGTAATGGCGCGGCGGTGCGGACTGGGAGGCACGGTGGCGGGGGCAAGGCGGCACGGAGGCGGCTGCTGTGCGGCGCGGAGTGAAATAGAGAGGGAGGAAATGGACTGGGCCGCGGGTCTATACTTGACTCTATCGCGCCCTGGCGGGTGGCGCGTCACTGCCGCGCCGTGATGCGTGGCGTGTCACAGCCACGTCCTGATCGGTGACGCGGCAGAGCTGGCCACGTTACCGATCAATGGTCCTGGTCGCTGCCACGTTGGCAACCTCGCCGCGCCCCCATGTATGGCGCGGCAGCTTTAATTCGCCGCGCCGTGCGAATAGGCGCGGCTAAAAGTGTTAGATTTGAAAAAAAAAACAGTGTCAGTTTTAAAATTAATTTAAAAATGTGTTAAAAAAAATCACGATGATGGAGAGCGGCGGGCTGTCCCACGCGAGCGCTAGTGCCGCGTCCATCCTGTCCCTTGGATGGAATCCAGAGAGTAGGAGAAACCTGCCCATAGAAGAACTATGTCAGCTTCTGTGTATCGCTTCCCCCTTTTGCGAGCACCACCACCAAAGAAGCATGAACCCAGAGGGGGGAGGATTAATAATGGCATAGAAGCAGAATTTAGCACCGGGAGAATACTTATGCAGGTGCAGGTCTGTCTCGTCGTCCATCTCGCGTCGCCGCCGCCGCTGAACGCGAAACTGATCGGCGGTTGACGCGAAACTGATCGTGGCAGCGGCGGACGTGGAACAGGAGAGAAGGAGACAGAGGGGAACCCTCAGGGTCAAGACTCGAAGAGGCAACAAGTCCCCTCATTTTTGCAGATGTCCTACGGATTGAACCTGAGGTTTACCATAAAGAGACGGCCTATTATGTGGTATTGTGGTCAATCAAAATTCATGATTCATGGCTCGTATCTGCAGCGGATTCTGCCTGATGTCTCTGGTTCTCCGTTACCTTGAGTAATAAACCCGTCAGCACATTTCAAATTAATGGGCCAAGAAGAGGATACCATTGATCTGTATGAAACTTTCTGGTTATCTGGACTTTCTTAAGAGGAAAAGACTTTCTGAGAGAGGGGATCACTAAACCCTTTATGAGAGCTTCCGTGCAAATTTTAGATTTATATATATCGAAAAATAAAACACATCACGTGGTGACCTTAAAGCTCAAATAACCAGCGACAATAACAGAAAAAGGCTAGAACTTCTGAAGTAGACCAGACAGGGCCTGCATAGTAATATAGTTATTTCAAGTAATTACTGTTCACAGAAACTACCTATCCACTAATAGCACAGTATGAACTGCAACTCTGCAAGCACATTGGATGAATAGTTTCATAATTTTCATGTTTACCATGTAAATCTGAGTACACATGTAAATGATCTATGTGTCATATTCAACAGGAAAGTGGTTCATGTTGGACTTGCAACAAATGTATGCTAAGTGGAAACAAATTACCAACACTAACACAAAAACACTAGCATTCTATCGAGCTCTTGCAAGGGGACTAATCAAACATACAGCCCCCACTGAATTTGAATCACCGGTGTCCCATCCCAATTTCAATCATGCCAATCCATCTACAAAGCATCTTCATCTGCACCATACAGATTCAATTCATGCTTAAGGAGGCAAAACTATGGCAGTCTCTCTAATTTAACAAAAGTCATTCAGATAACTCAGTTCAGGGCTTTCTCTTCAAAAACAAACTCAGTTCAGAGGTGCACATGTTCTTTCTACTCATCGACATCCCAACTTAGGTCCTCATCATCTTCCACAGAATTAAGACGTTTTCGGAGATCCTCCGCTTTGCTGACAGAGCTTGACCGTTGGCTAGCCCCATTCTTCTCATCTTGATTGCCAACGTCCTCAATCTCCTCCCAGCTAAGATCTTCCTCCTGCACTGATGATTGTGGCACCACTGAGAAATCACCCCCCTTAGATGAGTCACCAGCTTCAGTCTTCTCTTCTCGTACCGTCCCATCGCTTGCCTGTGGTGTCGATGCTTCAACACTGGATTCACCATTACCATCCTTGGCTGCAGCCAAAGCAACCTCCTTATCTTCTGCTGAGTCATTTCGAACTGCTGCTTCTTGTTTCTGACTGCCCTCTGTTTCACAGTTAACAGTCTCTGCTGCCTGCTCCTCTATCTTATCTACCATGGAGTTTGTGCCTTCTTTGTGATCACTGGTATTGGCATCTTCAACATCATCATCATCGACATCCCAGCTGAGTTCTTCATCCTCCTCCTTCGACATGGCCCTGCTCACGAGTTTAGTGCGGACATCCTCTGCCTGCTTGAGCTTATCGACTGCAAAGAAATACCGGGACCAGAATGTCTCATAATCCACAACTGACGGCACAAGCCTCTCTACAAAGCTCTCCAATCCAGGGCTTTCTCGGAGCACCGCCTCTATCTGTTCCTTCACCTCGTCAATGGAGAACGAGGCACTCCATCTACCAAAGCCCTCAGAGTCCTCGGGCTCCTCGGTGAACGTGGCAGGGTCAGCGCGCAGCGCCAAGACCTGGGCCTCGAACCTTGTATACTTCTTCGTCGGTAAGGAGGCGCGCCAGGAGGCACCGGAAGCAGAGGCGTCGGAGGGGCGGGGGGCACTGTCACCATCGTCACCGTCGGCTTCGGCGGACCGGAGTGCCTCGTTGGCATGCGAAAGGAGGCCAGCGGCGGCGGCACCGAGGTCGTCGACGGTCTGACCGACGGACTCGAGCCTGTCGGAGGCGGCGGACGCACCGGCCTCCAGCGCGCCAGGTAGCGCCGAGGCTGCGCGCGCGGCGGCGGCCCGGAGCGCGGCCGTCTCGAGGCGGAGCCCCGAGCCGAGGTCCTCGAGGTCGCGGCGGTAGCCTCCGAGCACCGACTCCGACCGCGACGCGAACGTCTTCACCAGGCCCCCGAAGCTCCACCCGCTGTCTGAGCCTTCCCCAGCCTGGCCCCACTCCTCCTCCCCATCCGCCGCCGCCGCTTCGGCATCGGTTCCCCGCTCTCCGTCCTCCCCCGCCGCAGCGGCAGCCTCCTCCTGCTCATTGCGCTGCGCCTCAATCTCCTCCGCGAGCGTCTTGATCAGGCCGCCAAAGCTCCACCCGCCGCCAGAAGATTCTCCCTCCTCATCCGCCGTTGCCGCCGCCGCATCAGCCTCTGCTCCCCGCTCGAGCTCCTCCTCCTCCGCAGCGGCGGCTGCGGCTGAGATGGCCTCCTGCTCTTTCCGCTGGGCCTCAATCTCCTCCGCGAGCGTCTTGATCAGCCCGCCGAAGATCCACCCGCCGCCGGGGCCAGCCTCTCCCTCGGCCCCACTCTGGGCCTCCTCCGCCTCCGCGGCGGCGGCCGACTCATTCACTCTCCGCTGCTCCTCGATCTCCTCCTTGAGCGTATCGATCAGGCCGCCGAAAATCCACCCTCCGCTGGACTCTTGGGCCGCCGGCTCTTGCTCGCCCTCCTGCTGCGGCTCCTCGCCATCCTCCTCGGCAGGGGCGGAGAAGACGGAGCTGAAGAAATTCATTCGCGCGCGGATCGGGGTTGGGGCTTTGGATCTGGGCGAGGAGGGAAGGCGGCGGTGGCGTCGGGGGATAGATATATCAGGGGTTATTTGATTGGGCCCTGTTCGGCTTACCCATGTTCGCCTTCTTCTTTTTTTTACTGTTTTTCTCTCCTAGTAATTCACTCAGAATAGTGTTTTCCAGTCAATTTCAACTAAGTTTTAATTAGCGAACGGGGCCTTAATTTTCGATGGTCGGAGAAACGCTATTAATGTTCGTCTATTTTCAGCCATTACAATTCTTCGTTTCCCACAAATATACCACAGAATACGTATGAACACGGCCTGGACCCAACTGCACACGTATACGAAAACGTATATTTTATCGCAGCCTCTCTCCCCAACACTGACACGCGGGCTCCACATGTCATCTTCTTCTTCCTTCCCTTCCCATCTTCCCTTGCTGATGGCGATGGCGAGCAACAGTAGCAGCACGAGGCCGAGCGGAGCTCGTGGCCTGGGCGGCTCGCGCCTCAATGCCGGCGCGCCGCTCTTGCTCGCGAGCCCACCCGCCCGCCGCGCGCGCCCACAGTGCCTTCTCCGTGGTTGTGCCCGTCCGGCTACGGGCTTGGCGGCGGCGCCACCCGCGCCTCCCCTGGCGGCCTCGAGCGCGCCTCGACGCTATGCGTCCTGGCTCCTTGCTTCTTGCTTCTGCTCCCGAAACGAACTGACTTCAATCTCCACCGGCGCCCGAGAGACGCGCTGATCTCGCGACGGCTAGTGGTCGCCGGTGAGCTCTCCTGTGGTCGTCCGTGCATCCTAGCTTCGAAGACAGCCGCACGCTTGTCGGTCCCAACTAGGGCCGGCTCCTATCGCCATCGTCTTCTGCTCTCCTGACGGCTCCTACGAACAAGAAAGCTAGCGCTCGTCGGCCCCTAGCCAGTCGCTCCTCCCGGGGCGCTCGTCGGCCCCCAGCCGTCCATGCCTCTCGGCGGCAGCATCCTGGGTGGTCGCGCCCTGCGCCCCCGGGCATCACGCGTCCTCACCCACTCCTCTCGAGTGGGGGCAGAACCTATCTTTATTGCATGCTGAGGTCGGGCTCGTGAGCGGCTGCTGTGGGCGGGTGGGCTCGTGAGCAGGAACGGCATGGCGGCATCGAGGCGCGAGCCACCTAGGCCGCGAGCTCCGCCCGGGCGCGTGCTGCTGCTGCTGTTGCTCGCCATCGACGCGCTCAGCAAGGGAAGATGGGGAGGGAAGGAAGAAGAAGATGACATGTGGGGCCCATGTGTCAGTGACAGGGAGAGAGGCTGTGATGAAGTATACGTCTTCGTATACGCCTGCAGCTGCGCCCATGCCGTGTCCGTACGTATTCTGTGGCATATTTGTGGGAAACAAAGAATTATAATGACATGCTTTAAAATAGACGAATAGTAATGATGTTTCTCCGAAGATCGAAAATTATAATGGTATCGATCAAAATAACCCATATATCAGGTACCTGCCGTCGGCGAGAAATTTCCCCCTTCTCTTTGCCACGTGCTTCAATCATAGGATGACGAGTGGGTCCCTTTTGCAGAGAGAAGATTGGCAGCTTGGCACCAAGCGGTGATGATGGGTTGGGTGCGATGCGATCTGAAGTTCTGGACGTTCGGACTGGCCAGGTAGGCGGAGCTCAACCCGGCAACCCCGATGTGGTGTTTGTTTCGGTGGAAGCCGAGCTTTCTACCCACTTGCGGTTCTGGTTCCACTACTGCGATCCTTGGATTGCTCAGCATAATACTGAAGCTAGAACAAAAATGTTAATTCGAATGGTGCTATTATAATTTTGTGAGGTTGAAAAAAGGTTAATTCGAATGGTGCTACTAGAATTCCTGATATTGAAAAGATACCATTACTATGATATGTATTCTTCAAATTTGACATTTTTCTACGTATGTCCGATTGAACCCGCCTACATACGTACGTAGTGGCAAACTGTTTTGTATGGACCATCTTACCCCCATCTCTTCTCACTTAAGTGGACTGGCCGTCTAGTTGAACCCAACCAGTCTCTTCTCCCCACTGCGACGAGCCCTAGAGCCCTAGGTAGGCGACAAAGGCGATGACGATGGATCCAACGGTGGAGAGTGCATTCGACGACGTCGACGACTTTGTTGCTGGAGATGGTGATGTCGATGGCGTTCGTAGCAGCAGGAGCTCTAGTTTTGGCCAGGCTCTCTACCTTCCTCGTATCTAGTGTCTGAGGTGCAAGATCCAGGTGATTAGATGCGTGAGCAAGGAGAAGAAGGTGTCTTACAAGTGCCCAAACAACTTCCCGATGAGAGTTGCGATGTGTATAATTACTGCATTTGTTGCCTTTGTGTTCTAATGTCGTAGAAGTACAATACCTGTGGGCACCCTTGGTATGAGGATGCATATGTGTACTTGCACGCCAACCATCCACACCTTTTGCAAGGATCATAAGGGATGGTGCAGCCATAGTTGTTGTTCAATCTCCAGAGCAGCACCCTTCAATGTGCATCTAAGCCCTTAGTGGGTTTTGGCGAATTAAATGACAACACGATTAAGGGACTAAAAATACTCATGAGATTTGCAGATTGCAGGTGCTTAGTCCCAAGTTTATTATTATTTGTTGGACTGATATTTTATATTGTTATCATATAAATATCAATTGAGTCCGATGTTGATTATTGTGAAGCAAGAGTTTTGTAAGCAAGCGTGTTATAAAAAAAAGGCATGAGGATTTGCATATGGATGGGTCTCAACTATAAAGGTTGTAAAGTACAAATACTAAAGATTGTTGTCAAGGCTTGTGAGGTTTATTGTTGGAAACAATATAGTTTAAGCATAAGACCACAATGCAAATGAAATGATATTCAAATTAAGGCCCAAAGCATTGATATGGCTTGATCTGCTTGAAAAGGTGAAGATAGCAAGGAAATGTCTTTGAGGTGCTTTTTTTTTCTCGATCAGACAATTTGCCCGTATTTCATTAAAAGGAAGATTTGGAAGTTCAAACACACGAACAAACCTGGAACACGCGCGTGTGGGGGTATTAACCTCTATACCCTTACGGCTAGGTTTGGGCCGTCCCGGACCAGGGGTCCGGCACACCAGAAGACGACGCGCGGCCCAGCCGATCTGCTAGGAGTCCTGCGCAAGGAATCAAGGCAGACTTGGAGATCAAGCAAGATCCTGGTCGGTTAGAATAGGAATCCTTATCCGGCCACCTATGACAATTGTAACCGGTTAGGATTAGTTTTCAGATCTGTAACCCTGCCCCCAGACTATATAAGGCGGGTAGGGGACCCTCTAAAAGGATCACAATCTCATTGACATACAGCAATACAATCAGACGCAGGACATAGGTATTACGCCCTCACGGCGGCCGAACCTGGATAAAACCTCGTGTATGTCTTGCGTCACCATCTCGTTCGTAGCTTGCGCACATGTCTGTCGATAATCTACTACCTTGGGCATACCCCTAGGTAGACTACCGACCATATTTCGTCGACAGTGGCGCGCCAGGTGGGGGGTGTGCGTATTGCTCCCCAGACGAACAAGATGGTCATCATCCCCGGCTCCATGGCTACGCCGAACGGCCTCACGTTCACCATCGGCCAGATCACCTGGACCACTGGCTCTGACAACTTCATCGCCATGATCACGGAGGAGGCACAAATCCAATCTGCGCCAACCAATGCTTCACCAGCATCGACTACGGCTCCGACCATGTTGGATCTAGCTCTGGCCACACCAACATCGTCTTCAGCCACGCCGACAACCCGTCGTTCGCTTCCTCGCTACAAAGGGAGGTAGATCGACAACACCGACCTGCTTGACTCCATCGATCGGGTCGACGCCAAGCTTGCTGAAACCCTAGGTCTGGTAGATTCGATTCAAAATCAACCTTCCAAGCAGGTAACCACTACCCATAATAGATCTACCTGACCAGCTCGGGCCAGTCATCCTGCACGACTCGGTATGGATCTCGTGGTCACGTCTACTCTTGAAGGGCGTTCCGTTCGTCGCCGACCAGCTCCCGCAATGGGCCTCTGGCTCTTCGAGTGCGAAGCCTTAATGGAGAATTACCAGGCCCAGCCCTATGGCCTGCGAAACACTGCTTCCAGCTACGCATACAATATACAATGCTGCCCGGATCTGTGTTTTATACATCAACCTCGACCAAAGCCACGCAACTTTGTCAATATGGTTCGGATTGAGGAGTATCAAGAAGGATCGGTCCACACAGTTAAAGAGGGCGGCTCAAGCTCCCCGTCCAGCATCGCATCTAATGGCTCCATCCACACTGAGCTTCAGCTTCGCGACGATGAAGAAGTTGATTACGATATGGATATCCCAGACCGCCCCCCGGGGTTTCCATGATTCCCATCCTTCCCACCAAGGCGAGGAGACTTAATCAATGTTGTCAGTAATGACGAACCCCCGGCAGTTGGTGAAACAGAACAAGAAAGGCTAGCACGCGAAGCACGCAATATTGACCGGTTTAATCGCAGACAAGTCGAAGCCGAGGTAGAAGTGGAGGCATGACGCATAAGGCTCCAACCACGCGATCTCAACAATGCCTTTGATAGGGTAGGGGAAAAGCAGGTCTTCAGGACTCCAAGCGCCAACGTAGCTGTTGTTATGGCGACAATGCAACGACTGCCCAATACCCCGGAAATCCAGGCAGTTCGTGATGATATGCAAGCCTACTTGACGACTGCTATGGCCCAGACCGCAGAGATTGCAAACCAAGCCCGAGCTCCGACCGCCTCAGTCGAATCAAGCCACAGTCGTCAGTACTCAAGTTGCCCACAGCCACCCAACCAACGTGGCTCGCGCAATAACGTCCCACCAGACAACCGTCAAGGCAGAAACGGTGGTCATGATAGTGATCGGGACGACAACCGCCGCTACAACCAAGACGATAATCGATGAGAAAACCACGACAATCGCCGTGATAACCGCGGTCGCAGGGTCAACCAGGGCGGCAATCAGGATCGCCATGATGGCAATAACGA